TTCCTGGTAGTAGATATTGTTCATGATCTTTCCTTCAGGAATTACTTCTAGAGAGAGGCTCTGGGTCCGAAGGGTAGCTTCGAGTTCCCTCAGGGTGGCAAGGTACTCCTCATCTTGCTGACAGGAAAGGAGAGAGTGCAAGAGAACAAAAACTCAGTAAATGACCAGCAGCCACTAAAAATTCTTTCTTTCTTTTTGGTGAGCTAGTATTTATTTTACAGTAAGTTTTTAAAAGGTTTTTGCCAGAGGGCATGTGCACTCACCAGAGAGAGAGAGACAGTGAGAGGTAAAGGAAAAAATCACTCTCTAGGGAGACAGCCATGCTGCAGTTCCTTATCCTTCATTCTTCTCTCAGGATTTAGGCACACATGCCCGGTATGAATGTCAAGCCACCAGGTCCAGGATTTGAATCCCAGTTGGACATGTGGGAGTTTAGCACCTTAACCCCCACTATACCCACTGGCCCTAGTCTTTTTTTTTTTTTTTTTTTTGATAAGTAGGAGTACACTCTAAAATAACAATGAAAGTATAGTATAGTAAATATTGAGTTGTCGGAAAATTGATGACATGTATTTTCCATGCAAAAATGTGTCGTGACTTTTCTGATGACCCCATACATAAAATACAGCTTTCAAAATTTAACAGCATGTGAAAATGCTCATAATTAAGTTTTAATGTTATAAAACGAGGCAGGACACAAAATTTATATATGTATATTTATACATATACAATATATATATTTGACAGTTTTTTATAAAATTTATTTTATGTATGATAGAGAGCACACACATGAAAGAGAGAGAGAGAGAAGCACACTCAACAGGGTCTCGTCTTGCCCCCATCACCTTTCCCTGGCCATCCAGCTACTCAGGATCTTAGGTACACGTGCATATGTGTTTTCAAGCCAACTTTGAGTTTGGAACCCATAGTCAGGCATGTGGTTTTCAGCACTGCAGTTCAGTTTGCTACTGACTGCACCTAAAATTCTACATAATACAGTATAACCCCAATGTCATTAAAGACAATACAGTGAGATCAGCAAATGGCATAATGGTTATGCTGCTGGACTCCCACATGGCCGACTACAGTTAGAGTCCCAGACCCGAGGCTTGAAGCTCATGCCAGGTGCGCATGTATGCTTGCCTAAAATCCCAAGAAGAGAATGGAGGAGATGGGAGTGCGGCATGGCCATTCCCCGTGGGGGGATTTCTTGCTTTCAGTCTCTCTCTCTCTCCAGCGAGTTCACACGCCCTACAGCAAAAATCTCTCTCAAAAACCTAAAGCAAAACAAAAACAACATAGAAAATTTGCTAAAATCTTAATAGTATTGAGTCTGGGATTATATGTGATTTAAAATTTTTTTTTGAGAGATCTTTGCAATAGGATGCAGGCGCTCGCTGGAGAGACAGAATCAGAGAGACAGAAAGCTGAAATATCACCTCCCGGGGGGGATGGCCATGCCACAGTCCCTTTCCCTCCATTCTCCTCTAGGGATCCTATGCATGCATGCACATGAGCCTGGTGTGAGTTTTAAGTTTCCAGGTCTGAGACTTGAACCCCGTGGTCCTCTATGTGGGAGTCTAGTGTATGTCATCTGCTGATCCCCTGTGATTTTTATCTTTTAAAAATATTTTCCTGTATTTTCCTTTTTGTTTGATTCTATATTACTTACCTAACCACATACAGTTGCTTATCTAACTACATGTAGTAGAAAAAAACAAAATATGAACCCATCAGCTTCTGAGCCAGAGCTGACACTGTTAGCTAAGTTTAAACTGATCCTTTCCTGGGTTATTTGTAGTCCTGGGCCTCCCTCCCTGAGCTAGGCACTCTGCCCACTTTTTTCTTACCAAAGAGATGAGGGGCCTCACTGTAGACTCTAGGTAATCGACCACATCCTGTACCAGCCCTGAGCCATGACTCAGCTGATTGAGGTCAAAGGGGGGCTTTAGGCAACGACTGAACTTCTCCCGTGCAGCAGTGAGGTTACCAGCTTTGAGGCAGGCCATGCCCCAAGCATGCCATGCCCCCGTGGTATCAAGCCCAGTCTTTGTGGAAACCTGGAGGAAGAAAAATAATCTTTTTAGTGAGAGGTAGCTACACGAAGGCCTGAGTGTCCCAAAAACCTATTCTATTCCCTTGCTGCCAACCACCTCCCTAGCCCACTGCCAGTATTTCCACATTGGCAAACTGGTCATGCCCTAGGTACTACCCCATGGTTAGGACAACTGGGAGAGGGCAATACCTGTGTGCAAGGCTCAGCAAAGGAAATTCATAGCAGTGGGGCAAAAGTAAGCTTTGTCTTTGCCTTACCTCAACACTCAGTTGGTAGTATTCGGCTTCCAAAAGCTGGTTCCTCAGCCTGGTTACTGCAGCCGGCTGTAGGATCTGGTCCAGAGACGGCACATGGCGATAGGCAGCAGCTACTAAAATATTCAGCACGTCTACCTTGCTGATGTAGCTACAGGAAAGAAGACGGTAGGGCAGTGAGGTCCTGTGGAGTTTTACTAAGAGCAGTTGTTATAGGGCTGGATGGTGGTACAGCACTAAAACACAATACTCTGCAAGACTGACCCACATGGGAAGGTTCCAGATTCACATCTGGAGACTTCCCTGAGCGTGTTGGGTGCATGTGTGCTTATGATCTGGGCTGGATGAAGCTGGTGGTGGACTGCTATGTTAAGATCCTGTTGGTTGTTCTGTCTCTCTGATGAGTACATGCACTCTATAACAAAAACTTAAAAAAAAAAAAAAAGATAAAAGAAAAAGGCAATAATCCAAGTTAAAAGGCTTAGGATAGTGTTGACTTTTTTTGAGAGGTTTTTGCTGTAGGGTACATGTGCTCGCCAGACAGACAGAGAGAGACAGAGAGACAGAAAGCGAGAAATCACCCCCTAGGGGGGATGACCTCATCACAATCCCTTCTCCTCTCGGGATCTTGGGCACACTTGCACACGTGCCTGATGTAAGTTTAAGCCACCGGGTCTGGGACTTGAACCACGGCCGACTACGTGAGTTCAGCGACATAGCCATTATGCTAACACTGGTCCCAGTGTTGACTTTTTAAACACTCATTAAATACCAGATAGTAATGTTTAGTGTAGGGACGCTCATGTCTCTGAGGCAAAACCTTTCCAGAGACAGTTGGGGGCATACAAGTTATCCATTTGCCTTTTGGTCCTTTTGAACTCTGCCTGCTTGGGAAAAAGCACAGACTCGGTATTGATGGCTGTGCTCCCAGTTAGTACAGAGGTTACGAAGGTCACATTGCTAGCATTCTGGAGGTGCTGCTGAGTAGGGGCCTTCTGGCCACTCACTCACATTCTCCCTGGGATAAGGATGGGCCTTCACTACAGCCTACTAGGACCACTATCTGTGAATTTATTTCTGATACCTGATGACTATAAAAACCTTATAAAGACAGAGAGTCCATAAGTTGGATCATTATGTTCAGTGCTGCCTGAGACAAACCCACATCTAAGGCTCCTGAATTGTGTCTCCTAATTCCAGCAAAAAACTGGATCCTGACTTATCCATGAATTTCCCTGGAATGAGATTCTGCATATTAGTATTCTTTCTTTTCTTTTTCTTTTTTTTTTTTTTTAACAGTGATTTTTGCTATAGGGCGTGTGTACTTGCCAAAGAGAAAGAAAGAGACAAGAGACAGAAAGTAGGAAATCAATCCCCAGAGGGGCTGGCCACATCACAATCCCTTCTCCTCCATTCTCCTCTCAGGGCTTTGGCAACACATGCACACATGCCCAGTGTAAGTTTTAAGCCACTGGGTCTGGGACTCGAACTGTGGTTGATTATGTGGGAGTCCAGCAACATAACCATCACACCATCTGCTGGTCCCTTATCAGTATTCTATTTTTTTAAGAACTTTATTTTATTTTATTATTTACTTATCTTTTTTTTTTTAAATTGACCAGAGAAGGACAGAGTAAGTGAGTGAGAGAGAGAGAAAATGAGAAAGCAAGCCCAGGTCTAAGATGCAAACCATTGACCATGTGGGAGTCTAGCATCCTTAACCACCATGCCGCCTGCTGGCCCCATCTCATCAGTATTCTTTTTTCTTTTTTTAAAGATTTATTAATTTTATTTATTTATTAATTTGTGTTAATTTGACCAGAGAGACAGAGAGAGAGAGAGAGTGAGAGAGAGGGAGGGAGGGAGGGAGGGAGAGGAAAGTGACAAAGCAAGCCACCAGGGGGCATGGCCATGCTGTAATCTTTCTCTATTCTCCTTGAACCATGGTTGGCCATGTGGGAGTGTATGGCACCTTAACCACCATGCCGCCTGCTGGGTCCCTCATCAGTATTCTTAATGCAGTAGGGATGGTATATGGGAAGTACAGTGTATAAAAGCACTAGTACTATTTCCTTTTAATGTTTTTGGTGTAGGGTGTGTGTGCTCACTAGAGGGAGACAGAGAGAGGAAGGTAAAGTGAGAAATCACTCCCAAGGGGATGCCCATTTCCTCCATTCTCCTCTCGGGATTTTGGTCATGCATGCACACACACCTGGAGTGATTTTTTTTTTTTTTAAAGAGGTTTTTACCTTAGGGTGTATGTGTTCATCAGAGGGAGAGCAAGACAGAGACAGAGACAATGAGAAGGAAAGTGAGAAATCATCCCCCGGGGGGATGGCCATGCTGTAATCCTTTTTCCTCCATTCTCCTCCTGGGATTTTGCGCATGTACCCACATGTGCCCAGCGTGATTTTGAAGCCACAAGGACTCAAACCATGGATTAGCCATGTGAGAGTACAGCAATGTAACTGCTATACCATCTGCTAGCCCCCAGAGTGATTTTTTTCAAGGTGCCAGGTCTGAGACTTGAACTGTAAAATTGGCCATATGGGATCCAGCAGCCTTAACCTCCGTACCACCTGATGGCCCCTGCTGGTACCATTTTATGTTTGTACATTTGGAAAATGAAAACATTTAGAGGAGGTGAAATGAGTTTTGCTCCTAAACATATATTTAATTTTTTGTTCATCTACCAAAAGGGGGTGTAAGTTAAAAACAGCAGAAAACACTGTTCAGGGCTGGCCCTGTGGTCTAGTAGTTAAAGGAACCAGGTCCCACATGGCTGACTGTGTGGTTCAATTCCAGGACCTATGGGCTTGAAAAACACACCTGGCACATGTGCATGTGTGCCCCAAATCCTGACAAGATGGAGAAGTGGAATATGGATTACAGCATGACCACGCCCCATTGGGTGGTGCTTTCTCACTTTCCCTCTGTTTCTGTCTTTCTCTGGAAAGCACACACGCCCTCTGGCAAAATTTTTTAAAAAAGAAGAAAAGACTCTGAATCAGGAGCTCTTAGATGAATCCACTCTCATCAGCAAACTGATACCCAGGAATGATTCTCTACAGTGAGTGGTGCATCTGGAAGCAGGATGGGTGAAGCAAAACTGCATAATTTAAAACCATGCTGTAAGCTGTCAGAGAAGCCCACAATACTTTAGGGTGAATGAAAAAAAAATTTAACTAAGAATTATCTATTTAATTTTATTAATTATTATTATTGTTGTTATTTTTAAATTCACCAGAGAGAAAAAAGGGAAAGTGAGAAAGCAAGCCACTAGGTCCAGGACTCAAACCACGGTCGGCCATGTGGGAGTCCAGTGCCTTAACGCCACCTGCTGGCCCCAAGGGTATTTACTAAGGACTTTTTTTTTTATTACTGCTGTCCTCAACCTGAAGAGCAGAGTTCTTTCATCTACATGAGATTTTGAAGGCACTATAGGACTTCGTATTAAATTTGTCCCCCTCAATCTTCGAATCTTTTCCTTTAAAAAGTATATTTTATCTCATTTACATTACTGATATACAAGATGTATTTGGATATATTTTTGGTTTTGTCTTACATCCCTTTTCATGTCTCTTTTCTTTTCTACCTTCTGCTACATGGAAGTGTTTGTTTTCTTCCTTTTTGCCCATCACTTTCTGGTAATTTGACAGGTTTTTGGTTCTCTTCATGGTTACTTAGCAAACTTAACATATATCTATTTCTTCATTTATGAACTTAGAAAATAATATAGACTCTATTGCCTCAATTTAAAAGTGGGAAATGAGTACTTTTTACTTCCTTCTGCTTTCTGTCCCTCCTCCACTTGCTTATCTTAACTGTTTGGTTTTTGTTAATAAAAAATGATAAAAATAACTAACATTCTTGGAGCCTAAAATATGTATCAAATTAAGTTCTTAGCCCTTCATATGGATGATCTCAATTTATCCCGATAATAGCTCTATGAAATAAATATTATTATTATCCTCATTCTATAGAGGAGGAAACTGAGGTGCAAGGGGGTTAACAGACTTGTTCAAGGTTACAGAGCCAGGAACTGGTGAAGCTAGGATTCATGGCATTCTAAGATGCCTGGTGAGTCTGTAGGTAAGTATTCTGGACAATAGTCTGAGAGGTGTTCATACTTCAAAGAAAATTATGTTCATTGCTCCCAAATCTAGTTAGGACTGAGTGCTGGGAACACACAATAAGTCACACACTTGGGTGGATAAGCAGGAAATTAGTTCTCATTGTCAAGTTAATGAATGGAATCAAAGCAGGTTGTGCAGGAACCAGAGGAAGGCCTAATCATACCTTCCCATAGACACTTCTGCTTTATGACTCAGATTCCTACCGATGACACAAGGACACATCACTCCATAAGGTGCTTTCATGGATCTATTATGGAGAACTCCCTGAGGTCACAGTCTGCATTTGATCAAGATTGGGTAGAGTTTTGTGCAATTCAGAGAGAATATATTCTCTCTAAAAGCCAGAAAGTTCCACAGGCACTAAAGTTTCACAAATTCATCTTCATTGCTGATTAACCTCTCAAGGTCTTTATTTTTTTTTCTGAGAGGGCATTGTTAGAGAAAACTTTGCTTTGAGGATTCACTCTGGGAAAGAAAAGGACACAGGCTGTCAGCATAACGTGAGGAAAACCGCTAGTGATCTGCTGACAGAATTTCAACATTGAACCAAAATACAAAGCATTTCAGCCTGTCTTGTCAGAGAATATGGTGAAATGAAGAATCATAGTAGGAAAAAGGAGCTGCATAGAAATCACTGGAGAGGCCCATTTCTGCATACCTGTCACAAAGAGCCAAGTCCTGGCTCTGGCCAGCCTTGACAAACATCATCTTGGCGCTGAAGAGCAGCTGCTTCATGATGTCTATGAGCAACCCCGCATCCACCTCTGGGTTGGTGAGGCCCTTGGACAGCCTGCAGCAGTGCTCAATCAGCTGGTGACCACAGGCGGTGCTGTCCCGGTGCAGATTCAGGATAGCTATGCACAAGGAGGCGCTGGGAGCCTGGCCGAGGGGGAAGGAGGGAGAAACACAGTGAGTTCAGGGACCAAAGGATTCTCTAAATGCAGCAGGATGACAGAAATTATTTTTCCCATTTCAAAAAGTTGAGAAACACTGAAGGAAGTAGCCCAAAATTCCACAGCAAAATAGAAGTAGAACTAAATACATTTCGGATGTTCTAAGTAGCACTGCCTAAGCTCTGGCTGCTAGGTTTGTCACCTTACTGAAAAAGGATTGTTGCTTGCTACCTACTTCCTGGGAATGTCCACAGATTCTCTCCTTTTTCTGGTCTATTACCCCATCAATGAAAAGTGTTCCTTACTGCTGGCTTGGTCTACAAAAATCACCGCACTTGTCTAACTACCTGGAGGAGTCTCTATTTCGAGGACACAGTACTGCTACGCCAATATTCCTAAGGCATCCTTGGAGAACTTTCATAGGACCCTGATGCCTACTAGTCTTCCCTTATCCGTGAAGGACATGTTCTGAGATTCCCAGAGGATGTCTGAAACTGTGGATAGTTCTGAACCTGATCTGTACCATATTTTTTTCTATAAATGCATAGTTGCAATAATGTTTAATTTACAAATTAAGCACAGTAAGAGATAAACAATAATAAGGATTATAACAATATACTGTAATAAAGGTTATGTAAATGTGGTCTCTCTCTCAAGATATCTTATTGTACTGTACTCACTTATTTTTGGACCATGGCTGACTGTAGGTAACTAAAACCACAGAAAGCAAAAATGTGACTAAGGGGATTCTCTTGTAGATACTCTTTATTGCAGAATTCAAGGCCCTACATAAAAACTGTCCTTTTCAATTCTATTTTTACTACCTCTTTGTTAACACTCTATATTCCCTCCAAATGAAATTAAGAGGTTTTTGCTACAGGGCGTGTGCACTCGCCTGAAAGACAGAGTGAGACAGAGACGGAAAGCGAGAAATCACCCTCAGGGGGATGGCCACGCCACAATCCCTCCTCCTCTATTCTCCTCTCAAGATCTTGGGCATGCATGCACACGCACCCAGTGTTGAGTTTTAAGTAATGAGGTCCAGGACTCAAACTGTGGTTGATTACATGGGAGTCTAGTGATGTAGCCATTATACCAACTGCTGGTTCCCCAAATGAAACATCTTCTACTACCCCAATCATGCCCTGAGATTTTTTTTTTTAAGAGCGATTTTTGCAATAGGGTGTGTGTGCTTGTTGGAGAGACAGAAAGAGACAGAGAGACAGAAAGGGAGAAATCACCCCCCCCCCGGGGGAAATGGCCATGCTGCATGCAATACCTTCTCCTCCATTCTCCTCTAGGGATTTTAGGCATGCATGCACATGTGCCTGGCATGAGTTTTAAGCAGACGGGTCCAGGACTTGAACTGCAGTTGACTATGTGGGAGTTTAGTGACGTAACCATTATGCCACCTGCTGGTCTCATGCCCTGAGAGTTTTGACACTGTGCTTTTGCTCAGATGTTTTAGTTTTGTGCTTTGTCTTTCCTCTATCCTGTCTCCCCCTAGAATCCTCAAATTTCTGCTTCTCACATGCTCCCTATTCTTCTGAGGCTCATTTTACGTGCTGCCTCTTTCATGAAGTCTTTCCTGATCTTCTCTTGTATATTTCCCAGGATCTCATTTTCTGTCTTCACTGGTTTAATTGCCTTAGTTCCTATATTACTACACCATAAACAAATACTTCCTACTAACACTACTATTCATCATAAAGAAACTTAAATGACCATCACATGTCATTGTTATTACCTGCTCATAGTAAAATTCACTCCGTACCAGCTCATTCTCATCTTCCTTCAGATCCAAAATCCACTCCACCTCATCTGCTTTAGGGACTCTCACCACAGCACAGTATGGAGGGCTTTCAGTCTCGGAGCTGTCTAGTGCTGAGAAGAGAATTGCCATTCATGCGTCAGTCACTGCTGGCAGCTGTCTAGCCCAGCGAGCTAGTGTGTTGCAGACAGACATTTGCCTGATATCTGAGAGTCCCCTTCTTTTCCCTTGGTCCCTTTCTTTCCTTCAGAATGCCCTATTAGTCACCTCAAGCCTTATTCTCCTGGGATGAGTCTGTTACACAGCCTGTGGTTTTACATGAGAAACTGCCCCCCAAAAGTGCATGTTTTTCAAAGTCATGGCTGATCCACTGAATACTCTGAAGACTAACCTGCTTATGAAAGATACAAGTCAAACTGTTAACAGAGATTACTTAGGGGCAGGAAGGAGCATTGGGAGATAGTACAGACACCTAACAAAGAAATAACTTACTACAAGTTAATCACCCAATTCTTTCATTGCTAGCCTTTCCTAAGGTTGGAGACTAATGGGTGAGTGTGATAGGTTAACACAGTGAACTTCAGGGGAAACAGGCTGATCGAAAAAAGGTGCAGAAGTTCCTTTGGCAAACACGTTGAGTTGCTATCAAAGGTATCAGCTGCAGCTGATATGCTGAAGATAGAGTCAACCTAAGCACCGAAGCAGTCACAGAGAATGTGATTCAGCCCTACCTTCAGATTGTCCTTGATTCTCCTCTGGTACACTGGGAACAGAGAAAAAGTAAAAAGCCTGAGTCACTTTTGTTCCTCTTTATTTTGAGCTTCGTGTACAGGTTGGCATTTGTTCTGTTATTCAAGTGAGATATCAGGGCATCATCCATCATGCTTTTCTTTCCTTCGCCATCACAGTCACTCTCTCACCATATCCTGTCCATTCCATCTCCTAAGTGCCTCTTAAATGTGCCCACCTCTCTTCATCCCTGCCTCAGTGAAGGACCTTGTCATTTATTGCTAGGGCGTGTGATAGCTTTCCAATTGGTCTCCTTGGTTCTGTCAACCTATTCTTTACTCTGCAGCTACAATAAACTTTCAAAAAGGCAAATCTGGTCGCATTATATTCCTGCTTACAAATTTCTCAGGGTAGACCAGCCGCTGGTATGGTGGTTAAAGCAGTCAGATTTCATGTGGATAACTGCATGGTTCAAGTCCTAGACCTAATGACTTGAAAAATGCTGGGTGCATATGCACTCCAAATCTCAAAAGGAAAAAATGGAGGAGTAGGGACTGTGGCATGGCCATCCATCAGAGTAGGTGTTTTCTTGAATTCTTTTAAATTAAAAAAGTTATTTATTTATTTTGTATTATCATTATTATTCTTTAATTTAACCAGAGAGAGAGAGAGAGAGAAAGTGAGAAAGCAAGCCAACAGGTCAGAGACTTAAACCGTGGTTGGCCATGTGGGAGTCCCGCACCTTAACTACCACATCACCTTCCATCCCCACTTTCTCATTGTCTCTCTCTGGTAAGTGCATGTACCCTATAGTAAAAAAAAAATTAAAAAATAAAAAAAATCAGGGTACAAATAACCCACACTTGCTGACAAAACCCTTTATGACTTGGCCTAACTACGTCCTGAAGCCATCTCTTGACATCCATGATAAGTGTTAAAGCCATAAAAATGTTCTTCTGCCACGGTCCCTGGTCAGCCTCAACTGATGCCACCAAGTACCAATCTCAATGATTCAAGTCACAGGTCAAGACTATCCACCTGCATGGTCATCCCTAGCTCATGACACCAGAGAGTAAGCCCCAAGCCTAAGTCTTCCTGGCTTGGCTGCCAAAACTAAGGACAACAGTGGTCAAGACATTAGCCCATCGCTGACCTATTTACAACTCCTCAAATGATACATGGCTTTCCTACTCCCACCTTTGCAGTGGTTACTCCTGCTTCAGGGAGTTACATCCCCATACTTTTTTGGCTTCCTTTCCTACCACCTCCTCATCCTCTAGGGCTCAGACAAGGTGCCAACCTCTAGGCAAACCTTCTGACCATCCTGGTGAAGTTGTGTGGGCCTCTACCACTTACTTATCCAATGGGCTTCTAGTTAGTTTGTTGGTGTTTTGCCCATTAAAATGGAGGCTCTTTGAGGGCAATGTGATTATTGCCTTGTGGTTGTTGAATCAGAGCGTCACCATTGGGACCAGCAGTTGGCGTAATGGCTATGTCACTGAACTTCCATGTAGTTGACCACAGTTTGAGTCCTGGACCCAGTGGCTTAAACTCATGCCAGGCAAGTGTGCATGTGTGCCCAAGATCCTGAGAGAAGAATGGAGGAGAATGGATTGGGGCGTGGCCATCCCCGGAGTTTCTCACTTTCTGTCTCTCTGTCTTCCTGGCAAGCGTATGCTCCTTGTAGCAAAAACCTCTCAAAAAAAAAAAAAAAAAAAAAAAGAGTCACCATCAATATTACTGCTCACTTCAAATCTCAGCAGTATGGAATATGGGTAATTCTTGTCCATACCCTGAGGGAGGCAGTAGAATATCAAGGACACAGCATAGAGTAAGAATGGTATGTCCTCCTTCCTACAAGATCAACAATCATCATGGTAAATAATCATTGGTAAAAAATGTTCATTGTAAAACAAAAGAAAATGCTATTGAGCAGAACGCAAAATCTATTTCAGCCTATAAGTAAAACATTGGGAGTTCAAAGTAATTTTGTTTTTGGATAGTTGCTTTGGCTCATATTCCCAGATATCCTACGAGTCTTAGTTTTACATTCCTTTGCTGTTAGAAGTAGTGGGGAAAAGAGGGTCAGACATGGGGTAAAAACCATATATATATGAAAGTAGAAATGGAATATTATGGATGATAACATGCATGATTAAGCCACTATCCAGTTTATTCTAGATGGGAAACCACATTTTGTATGTTGTGATGATGCTCAGGGAATGAATGTAAATTAATAAAAAAAATTTTCAGAAGAAAAAAAAAAGGCATTAAAAATACCTATCTGATGACTGCAGTAAGCTATATAGCCCTAGGTAGGTGCCACTTTATAGTATGTTCATTCTATTCACTGAGGTTTATGCCTAAAGTCAGACTTATATTCTTGGATATGTATATTTCAGCTGTGCTTGCTATTGAAAATATTTAGATTTATTAAGATATTTACTGAAACAATAATATGGGGGAGGCAGAGAAAGCAACAATAGATACCAGACACAGTGTGGGAGGAGGGTGGGAGATGGCAGAGGGTGAGATAGGGAATCAAGGATGGGAAAAAAGGCAAAATATACAGAAAACAAGAAATGGAAAATTATGTGTTGACAATAACACATATGTTGATGTGCTTGACTGAGCCAATATACAGTGTACTGTGAATGGAAAAATCTCATTTTGTATGCTATAATGATGTACAGTGAATGAATGTAAATAAATTAAAAAAAAAAAGTAGTGGAGAAAAAATGAACAATTCTGAGCTAGCAAACACGGTCTTGATCTGTCTTGCCAGAAAAATGAGCAGTCTCTGAAATCTGTCCCCAGGTGAGCTATGTGTAAGAAAGCGTGGGGGCTCCTCTAATTGCGAGTAATAAGCCAGGATAACTGGCAGATTAGTGCTGACGCAAGCAATGCCCAAACACCCAACAGGTGTGAACATGTTCCTTTGAGTTCAGCTGAGACCACTGAGGCAAGAGTGACTGAAGACAGGTGAGTTGCCAAGTTAAGCTTAGTGCCCTCAGTCTGGGGAAGAGCTGAAGAACCAGCCTTCCTGATTTCACAGAGAACACCAAGTAAGAACCTTGAACACCACTTCCTCTCACCCCTGCTTCCTCTCTCAGTAGATTCTCTGACCAAGGTCAGTCGATAAACATTTCACTGCAGAGTGAACAGCATTTCACTATGAATGCTACAGTAGACATTTTTGCAAGTGTTCCCAATTCAAACTCTCTCCGTACTGAGACTTGTTGGACCTGGGGGAGGATGACAACAGTCACAGTCCCACTGTAGGGCACTCACTCTTTGTTGTAGTAACTATAGCACTGGTCACACACACGAGCGGGGTTCTCTCTGCAGCCTTCCACCACCATTTTCTTGGTGGAGCAGGAACTGCACACTAGCCGGCCACAGCGGCGACAGTGATGACGCCTGTTAAACTGAGGAATGCCATCAGGAAGAGAAAGAAGAGGGAGGAAGAGAAGGTGAGATGATCATTATTTCACTTACGCATGGTATTAGCCATCTATGGCTTAAGAACACCAGGTCCTTGGGACCTTCTTAACAGTACACACCACTCCTTGCCCTTAAAAAGCTGACATGTTAAGATATTTCTTAGCTGAAGGGCAAAGGACCTAGTCATGGTTGGTTTTGTGGTAAGTTCTACTAGTCTGTGGGGACAATGTGGACAGAGAGAGCAATGAACAGCAGGGAGGAAGTGACTTTGTCAGCCAATGAAGACCACAGTTCTATACAATATTAATGATGATGATGGGGTCCTTTCTTAACATGCTTTTATGAGCACTGCCTCATTTTATTATAATAAATGAAATATACTTCTTTTATCGATGAGGAAGAAACAGAACAGGGAACTTAGATCCCCATCACTTCCATCGGCACTGAACTAAACATGCCAGTCAGGTACTGTGTTAAGTATGGTAACATCTTACTGTATTTAGTCCTAACAGCTACATTAGCAGGATAACGTATCACCCCCCCAATGTATGAGACTGAAAAAGTTTACAGTCACATTGCTGGATCTGTTATTTCAGTAAGGGTTTGTCAAATGGAAAAATTCGGGGCAGAGCCAGTAGAACTGGGTCCTCTGTCTCCTAAGCCAGTGCATACAATCACTACCAGGTCACCTGTCTTAGCGTGAGACATGAGAGTTAGAGATAAGATTGGCCTGGCCTTGGCTGACTCTTCCTGACTCTTTTTGATCTCATTAAGAATAGCAAAGATTTTAGAATTTCAGGCTAAATTCTACTCCCTGTCCACATAAAGAAAATACATTCTGGTCAAGTCAAAGAGAAACCCAAAGTCTCAGGTTTGATGGTTCTTCTCAATGTACCAGTATCTTCTTGGGGACAGGAGGTGACTATAAAGTCAGGATCAAGAACTTGAGTTTGCCGTTACTTTCCCTGCAGTGAGACTGGAAACCGATGCTACTTACCATGGTGAAGTGCTCCCTGCGGCAGACCATGCAGATGCTCTCTGTTTCATCTGGTACCCACTGGTGCCTGGCAGGGGGTGTTGCTGGGGGCACAAATTCCAGTGGGTGTTGACTCTGTGGGACGCTCTTCTCCCTCAAATTGGGGGAATGTACAACGGAGACACCTGGGAGCCAGAGTCAGAGGTCAGAGTAAAATCAATATTCCAGCTAATCAATAAGGAGGGCATGACCGAATTTTTCCATTTGACAAACCCTTACTGAAATAACAGATCCAGTTAATGATCAACAATGGTTGCTTCTACCACAAAAGAGAGACAACTGGACATTATGTGCCTCCTGATAGAAATGTATTTCACCACCTCTCAAATAGACTTACCAAAATGTTAAAGCCTGTAACATGTCATGCTTCTAGATCTAACTACCAGTGTATTGAAAATTCAGGGGACAGAGAACCAGATCACCTTAGGAAGGCAGTCAGCAAAATCCAGCATGTGGAAAACTCTGGGAAAAATGATTTAGTTTCTTCCACAAATAAAATACAGAAAGGAATTAAAAAAAAAGGGGGGGGGGACATGGAACCTCTTGATTAAAAGAGATTTAAGACCATTTAAGCCAAAATGCTGTGTGAGGATATTATTTAGATCTTGATTTTAGAAAAGCCAACTGTAAACATTAAAAAAACATTTTCAGGGTCAGCAAGTGGCTTGGTGGACTCCCACGTGGCCGACCTCTGTTTGAGCCTGAGAGCTGGCGAATTGCTTTCTCACTTTTCCTCCCTCTCTATCTCTCTGGTGAGCTCATGTGCCCTGTAGCAAATTAAAAAGAAAATAATGATAAACAAAATTAAATAATTCTTAAAAAAATATTTTATTGTCAGAAGGTACATATGTTTGCCAGAGGGAGAGAGAAAGATAAGACTCCTTCAATAGGGCATGGTCACACATTCCTTTTTCCTCCATTTCTCCATCTCATCAGGATTTGGGGTGCATATGCATACTGGCCTTCAAGTTTTTAAGCCACTGGGGCTGGAATTTGAAATGCAGCTAACCATGTGGGATCCAGCTCCCTATGTACAACACTTAACTGCTGCATTTAAGAGCTGGTCTCAGGAGCCCTTCTTCAAGAGACAGCCAGCTCCATGGCTCCTGAGATCTAGCCATTTGGGGAGAAAGGAAGATGTCCACTGATAACTGGGCCTCCAGCATCCAAAACTCGCGTGTTTGGGAAGAAACCGACCACCCACCAGATGACTAGAAATCGCTGCAAGACCACAAGAAATATGGGGAAGCAGGAAAATACCTCTCCCACAAGGGAAAAGGATAGCTCCTCTTTATCCACACACAGTTCAATGGAAATCATGGAAATGTCTGATAAAGAATTCAGAACATTCATAATGGCAAAGCTAACAGAGATGGAAGAGAAGAGAGACAAGGAACTGCTGAAGAGGAAGGAGAAAGGAGTTGAAGAGTTCCAGGAGGTGAGGAAATTCATGCTAGATCTAAAAGAGGAATTTCACACTTTACAAAAGAATCAGATGGAACTGTTAGAGATGAAGGCTATAATACAAGAAGTCAAAATCTCCCTTGAAAGTATTAAAAGCAGACTAGATCATACAGAAAATAGAATCTCTAATGTAGAAGAGAAAATGGTTGGCCTAGAAAAATCCACCGCGAAGACTGAGAAAATGGCCCAAAAATTTGAGAATAATATGCGAGAAGTACTAGATACCATCAAACGTCCAAACATCCGGATAATAGGCATCCCAGAAGGTGAAGAGACTCATAAGGGCATTGATAATCTATTCCATGAAATCTTACAAGAAAATTTTCCAAACCTGGAGAGGCACTCAAAGATTCAGTCCCAAGAAATACAGAGGACCCCAAATAGAATCAACCCAAGAAGATCTTCTCCAAGACACATTATAGCCAGATTGACCAAAACCACAGACAAAGACAAGATACTAAGACTGGCAAGAGAAAAAAGGCAAGTTACCTACAAAGGGTATCCCATCAGACTAACGGCAGACCTCTCATCGGAAACAATGAGAGCGAGGAGAGAATGGGAAAATGTATTCAAAGTATTAAGGGAAAAGCAATTTCAACCGAGAATTCTGTACCCAGCAAGGTTATCGTTCATTTGGGAAGAAAAGACACGAACTTTCCCAGATAAACAAAACCTGAAAGAATTTACCAGCACCAGACCGGATCTCCAAGAAGTTCTTAAGGGAGTGCTATGTCAGTAAAATTAAATGCAGACACACAGAAATAAGAGTTCAGAAACTAAGAAAATGGGCAACTTAATTGTAGGGCCAAAAGCTGGAGTTGAGTATTACATCCCAGATTTCAATCTGGAACATCGAACCTCAACAGATACAGAAGAAAGATTAAGTACATGAGACTGAACTGATGAAACAGTATTCTACGACTTGACTAAAATATTGCTGCTTTTCTTCTAAGCTTTGTTGTCTGGTTTTAAGGACTTTTGTCCTGTCTTCAGCTATCAATAGATTCATGTTCCGACTATTTGAACAGAATACTAACCTGTTTCTAGGCTTTAAGTTTCAAAGAAATATCCTTACCAGTTCAAAACTGCTTTTCTTGAAACCATCGGCTGATCTTGCTATTGAAAGTAGTTAGATTACTTATGATATTGTGTGACCAACGAAATGTTGGGGGAAAAGGGATTGAAGACAACTGTAGACAGCAGAGATAGTGTAATAAGAGAGTGGAATAGGGCAGAGGGCTAGACATGGGGTAAAAAAACATATATAGACTACAGTTAAGCTATATAGCCCTAGTTAGGTGCTACTTTATAGTATGTTCATTCTATTCACTGAGGTTTATGCCTAAAGTCAGTCTTGTGTTCATGGATATGTACATATCAGCTGTGCTTGCTGTTGAAAATATTTAGATTTATTAAGATATTTAGTGAAACAATAAAATGGGGGAGGCATAGAAAGCACCAATAGATACCAGACACAGTGTGGGAGGAGGGTGGGAGATGGCAGAGGGTGAGATAGGGAATCAAGAATGGGGAAAAAGGCAAAATATACAGAAAACAAGAAATGGAAAATGATTTGTTGACAATAACACATATGTTGATGTGCTTGATTGAGCCAATATACAGTGTATTCTCAATGGAAAAAATCTCATTTTGTATGCTATAATGATGTACAGTGAATGAATGTAAATAAAGAAAAAAATGTAAAAAAAAAAAAAAAAAGAGCTGGTCTCAGGATCAGCAGATGGTGTAATGGTTACTCCCATGTAGTCGACCACGGTTCAAGTCCTGAACCCAGCAGCTTAAAACTCATGCCAGGGGAACCAGCAGTTAGCATAATGGCTATGTCACTGGACTCCCATGTAGTCGACTACGGTTTGAGTCCAGGACCCGGCGGCTGAAAACTCACGCTGGGCACGTGTGCATGCGTGCCCAAGATCCCGAGAGGAGAATGGAGGAGAAGGGACTGCAGTGTGACCGTCCCTCTGGGAGGTGATTTCTCACTTTCTGTCTCTGTCTCTGTCTGTCTGGTGAGCACATGCGCCCTATAGCAAAAACCTCTCCAAAAAAATCAATCAAACAAAAAACTTATGCCAGGTGCGTGTGCGTGCACGCCAATATCCCGAGAGGAGAATGGAAGTGAAGGGAATGCAGCATGGCCATCCCCCCCATGGGGTGATTTCTCACTTTCTTTCTTTCTCTCGCTGGTGAGCACATGTTCACTATAGCAAAAATTTCTCTAAACAAAAAGAGCTGATCTCTAGAGGCCAGTAGATGCCGTAGTGGTTACATTGCTGGATTCCCACATGGCCGACCATAGTTTGAATCCCAAACCTAGTGGCTTGAAAAATACTCCAGGTGCATGTATGTACATGCCCAAGATCCCAGGAGGAGAATGAAGGGGAAGAGACTGCAGCACGGTCATCTCCCCAGGGGGTAATTTCTCACTTTCCCTCTCACTGTCTCTGTCTCTCTCTTTGGCATGCACACATACCCTATGGCAAAAACCTCTTAAAAAAAAAAAAGGTAGTTTCTAAAAAAATTTTAGGAAGTGTCTGGGGAAATCTGAATAATATTGGATATTTGGTTATAATAAGAAATTGTTATTAATTCGTTTTTAAGTATGACATTGTTTTTATTCAATAGAAGGCCTGACTTTTTAGAGATTTACAGTGAAATATATATTTATAAATGAAATTATATGATAGCTTATATTTGTTTCAAAATGATCCAATAGAAGGATGGGGTATAGTTTAAATAAGAATGGTCATGAGATCATAATTATTGTAGCTGGGCATATGAGATTTTATTATATTAGTCTCTTTCATGTATTGCTACTTTTCCAAAAGTAGCGCCCTAAAATATTTATATATACATGTTTGAAAATATATATAAATATATATACATGCACAAATAAATATATATATATAATGTTGAAAAAAAATTGTGAAAAATATAATTAAAGTATAAGTTTATTTTGGTGCAAAAGAATTTAAACACCCATGCATAGTTTTCTCATAATAAACATTTTCATGAGCTTTTTGAAGATCCCTGTATATGCATCTCCAGGTGTATGTGTTCATATGTGTTCATGTATGCATATCTGTGTATATATAAATGCCAAAGCTGTTCAGGCTACCTTAAACAAATGGATGAAGCTGCTCATATACTTGCCAGTCTGAGCCCTCCTCTCAGGTCTGCTGTATTGTGAGGCATGGCTAATTCTCAAAATATGGCCAGGAATTGCTTTATCGTATCTAAGGAGATTTCTTGTCACCCAGCAGAGCAATACTGACTGGTCACAAAAAGAGAAACAAAAAAACACTGACTCTTAGCAGCACCAGAACAAGAGACCCCCAATCCTGCTCCTCTGATCATTTGGTAAAACAAACACCTGTCGAGCTTCCCCTGAGTGTGATCCACTGTACTGGTGACCTTAGTATGGAGAGAGGAGGGGTGGCGAAGAGAGTAACCAAGATATGGCTGAGGCCTTCAAGGATTCTGTGTCCAGTGTGGATGAAAGAATGAATAAGAGCACTGGGACCAGCAGTTAGTGTAATGGCTATGTCACTGGACTCCCATGTAGTCGACAGCGGTTCAAGTCCTGGACCCGGCGGCTTAAACTCACGCCGGGCACACGTGCGTGCGTGCCCAAGATCCCAAGAGGAGTGGAGAAGGGATTGCGGCATGGCCATCTCCCCTGGGGGGTGATTTCTCGCTTTCTATCTCTCTGTCTTTCTCTGTCTTTCTGGCAAGCACATATGCCCTATAGCGAAAACCTCTCCAAAAAAAAGAATGGATAAGCAAACTAACTATAGTCAGTCCTCATTATTAGCAGATTCCATATTTGTGTATTTGCCCATTCACTAAAATTTATTTGTAATCTCAGAATCAATACTCCTGATGTTTTCATGGTTATTTGTGAATTTGTGCAGAGTGATGAAAATTGAGCCACTTAACACTCAGGTTCTTGGCTGAGGTTCTTCCAGCTCTTATGCAGTGATAACCAGAGGATAGAGACAGGAGGGGCAGGGCAGGCAGTGTAAGAAGCTCCAGTTCTGGGGCCAGTTGGATGGGGTTAGATGGTACTCATTAGTGAAGTGGACTCAGACAAGTCACTGAATACTTCTGAATACTTTCTCTTTTATAAAATAAAGAAAATAGAATCTACTCGTATAAGTTATTTTCATAATTTAAGACTATAATCAATCTACTTACCTATCTATCTATATATGGACATAGTTCCCCTAGGAGCAATAGTTTGGATTTGCTAAATCAGTGTTTGCAGAAACTTTACAAACATACTATCATGAATAATGAGACTTGTCTGTACATTAAATCTTTTGTAGTAAATAAAGCTAGGGTGAATACAGAAAAATAATAATGTCATACTGGAAATGAAAAAAGGACCAAAAATCAGGTAGTCAGAATGGAGGTAAGATTAAACAGAAAGGACCAGCAGATGGCATAATAGTTAAATCACTGGACTCCCACATGGCCGACTGCGGTTTGAATCTCACAGATCCAGCGGCTTGAAATTCACAACAGGGGTGTGTGTGTGTGTGTGTGTGTGTGTGTGTGCGCTTGCCCAAAATCCTGAGGGGAGAATAGAAGAGAAGGGATTGTGGTGTGGCCATCCTCCCTGAGGGGGGGTTGGGGGTGGTGGGTGATCTCTCACTTTCTGTCTCTCTGTTGAGCACACGCACCCTATAGCAAAAAGCTCTAAAACAAACAAAAAATTAAATAGAAAATGGGTACTCTCAGAAGTGGCCCTTACCAGGAGGAGCAATAGGAGAGAACTCCACTGATGGTGATCTAGATAGGGTCTCGGAGTCTGAAGCCTGATGGACAATTTCCTGGAGGTGAATCACAGAATCTGTAGGGAGGGAAAATGTGGACAAAATATCATCTTTTAAGTGCCTTCACTCAGTGCACAAGGCATTTAGTTCAAAGCTCTGTTGGCTTTGCTGTCATTCCATGGTTCTACTAAGTGCTCAGAGAATGACAGGGGTACTTCTAACCCAAGATCATGAGTGTTTCCTAACCTCCTTAAAAAATAAACTGTATTGGGGAACCAGCAGTTAGCGTAATGGCTATGTCGCTGGACTCCCACGTAGTCGACCACGGTTCGCGTCCCGGACCCGGTGGCTTAAAACTCACGCCGGGCGTGTGTGCATGCGTGCCCAAGATCCCGAGAGGAGAATGGAGGAGAAGGGATTGCGGCGTGACCATCCCCCCTGGGGGGTGATTTCTCGCTTTCTGTCTCTCTGTCTCTCTCTGTCTGGCGAGCGCATGCGCCCTACAGTGAAAATCTCTCCAAAAAAAAAAAAAAAACCGTATTTAGGTACATGAGATAATGAGACACTAGGATTTTACAAAATAAATCTAAAAATGCCCAGAGGGAAGTGGAAGATATTTAAATGGTGCCCCTGCCAGGTAAAGGATAAGCAAAAAGAATTAGCTAGGAACGTCGATCCATGTATTTCACTTTCTTATTCTAGAAGAAGCTGAGTCAGGTCACATACAAGTGATATCTGCTGTGACCCTGGGAATAAAGCATTACTTTCAATACAAAATGATGGTACCCTAGATCCGTTACATCAAGGCCACATAGAGGCAATTTCCAGTGTACTTCATTTCCCAGACTTCCTGTATAATGCATGCAGTGGCTGTCTACCACCCTTTCATTCTGGTTAGCCTGATGCTTCTTCCAAGACCAAGATCTCTTATATAGCTCTTTCTCTTGCAGTGTATTTTTTTCACTCTTGATCAACCCGAAACAATAAAAAAGAAGATTAGAAGAAGGAAAGCGGCATGGTCTTTTTTCTTCCATGCAGACTCCCATCTAGGATGCTGGCAGTTACCTGATCGTTTCTCCCTCAGAGGGTAAGGGAAGTCCAGGGCTTTCCCTGCATATCTGGAAAGCAGCGAGTCAACTTCATCCATGGTGAAGCCCGTCTCCTGCCCGGCCAGCAGCTGGTGCAGTGTCTGCACAGCCACGGTGGCCCAATCCACTTTCATGTTCATAAGCAGTTGCTCCAGCATGAGCAGGGGGTTGGAGGACAAGTGGGAATAGCTAGCCCGGTGTGGCTCAGGCAGGGTCAGCAGAATCTGTTTGTTGGGTAGATTCACAGAGTAAAGAAAACAGCAGACAAATTTCAGAAGAATCTTAAAATTCTCCCTAGGAAGGGGAAAGGGAGAATGTGCCAGAGACCAAAGGCCATAGGCAACTATTGAAACTGGCCAGTCATCTTTCAGGAAGCAGGGCTGAACTCTTATCTAAGTCCTCCAGGTTGGGAAGTACTCCAGATGAGGGGGTCAGTAAACTTTTTCTCTAAAGGGTCAGATAGCAAATATTTTAGGCTTTATGCTCTATAAGATCTCTGTTGTAACTTTTCAATTCTGTGAATGTAGCACAAACACAGTTGATAGACAAATATGTAAGTGAATGGATGTGCTTGTGTTCTGGTAAAACCTGACAAACCAAAGCAGGATGCTGACCCCTCCCAGGCCCTCTAGACATGGCCGAGCTCTCTCTGACCCTTAGTGCCACTGCTCTACCTGAGACTTTGTTTATAATAAGCAACACAAAGTGATGTCAGTGGGCTGCTATGTCTAACGCCTCCTGTGTCCTGCAGGTAAATGTCCTAAGGTAAACTGTCCTACAGGTAAATGATGAATCTGAACTCTTTCAGAGATTGTGATCATTAGGCTTGATATATTGGGCCACTGAGAAAGTCATGATACATTTTTGCATAGAAAAATGTAGAAAAATTGGGACCAGCAGTTAGCATAATGGCTATGCTGCTGGACTCCCATGTAGTTGACCATGGTTCAAGCCCTGGACCCGGTGGCTTAAACTCACGCTGGGCATGTGTGCGTGTATGCTCAAGATCCCAAGAGGAGAATGGAGGAGAAGGGATTGCGGTGTGGCCACCGCCCCACCCCCCCGGGGGGTGATTTCTCGCTGTCTCTCTGTCTCTCTCTGTCTTTCTGGCAAGCACACGTGCCCTATAGCAAAAACCTCTCCAAAAAATTTTAAAAGAAAGAAAGAAAAAAAAAAAAAACGTAGAAAAATAAATCAAGACTTTCTTGACCACTTTGTAGGTTTGCTGGCCCTAGTACGTTCACTGGCTCTGCTCACTGCCAATTTTCAAGGGTTCCTCCATGTAGAATACAGTGCATCCAAAAGGAAAAAGAGGCATATCTTTTTGAGGAAGATTTTATATAGTTTGACTCTTAGCAACTGAGCCAGGGGTTATATTCATGGTTCTCTGAGCACCTGTTCTATTTGTAGAAAGCATACACAACCGCCAGTCAGAATAATTAGAAGAGTATCAGAGGATCCCATCTCTCCCCACCTACTCCTTCACTGAATTGTTTTTTCTTTTTCTTTCTAAAGAATTATTTTACTTAAATTAAATTAAATTAATTAATTAAATTAATTAATTAAATTTTACCAGAAAGGGACAGATTGAGAGACAAAGTGAGAAAGCAAGCCGCCAGGTCTGGAACTTGAACTGCAATTAGCCACGTGGGAGTCCAGTGCCTTCAACCACTATACCACCTGCCAGCCCCAGTGAATTCTTTTTTCTAACTCATAATTTTTTGTGTTTCCTAGGTTACACATAAAAGGAAAGAACTTATTATTTTATCTAATTACTCTAACAAACCTCTTTCATCAGTACAGACTAGTCTATCAAACAATAGTCCTGGACCTAATGGCTTGCTTTCTCACTTTCTCTCTCTTTCTCTGTTCCTTTCTAGTCAAATTAAAATAAATCAATAAAGTTTAATTAAAAAACAAAGAAAAGAATCCCTTTGGAAGACATACAGTCCCTATCCTAAAATCAGTTTTCACTGATAGGGGGTGGAGGTGAGTTCTGGTAGTAATTCTAATATGTGGTCAGAATTGAGAAGCACTGATACAGCAGACATCATGGAAAGCCCAAAGGCAGTTTAAGGAGACCAGGCAGCATTCACTTTGGAAGCAAGAAAGTAATAGAATGGCAAGTACCAGTGGACTCAGCCAGGATGTGGTGGGCTGCCTGAATAAACATTCCATATAGTACAAGCCAAGGATGGCAGAGGCCTGGCAGGAGCCAACTGAAAGGTCACGTTCTGAAATGGGAGCTTCCCGCGGGCATACTTTCCCAATACCCTCCTCCCCCTTACCTTGGATCCCATGTACAGAGCCTGGATTTCACGGTGTCGGGCAGCAGTCAGTTCCCCATAGAAGTGGGTAGTGAGGTAGTTGGCCAAGAAGTGAGAAGTGGCCAAGCTTGGGTGCTGATCAAGGGACTGCTCTGTGACTTCAAGGCACATGGTGGGGTCAGAAATTCTTTGCAGGAGCTGTTGCAGAAGGCAGAGGAGGAAGATGAGGCCTGGAGAAGCACTCTGAGGCTACCCTAGCTTTGTTAGAGAAAGCAATGTTTAGGTTTATTTAATTTAGACTAATTCTTTTGTATACTCATTTCCCCCCCCCCCCCACTACTCCCATAGCTTTATAAATGGCTTTGAGAGGACCTGAGTTTAGCAGAATCTGAGACCTAGCTGCCTTCTCCTGGACCTAATGTAGAGCTTATACTCAAGATGACTATAACCAGCTCCTAGAGGACCCAAAGGCACAAAGCTAAGATAGTAAATATTTAGCGTGGGTTTCAGTGTGAAAAAAATCCATGTGATTTGACTAACCGTCTTGTTCCTCTTCAAAAGAAAAATAGGAAGAACCAGAGCCTTACTTGCAGAGCCTTTTCATGATCTCTTCTTTCTAGAAGGTGGAGAAGGTGCTTTTGATGTAAGCTGATTAAATGTCCTCTTGGGATGGGGTACAGGCAGCCCCACTCCTCACACAGTCCGTACTCCTGGAGGAAAACACACATGATTTCAATCCCCTTAAATTAGGCCCTGTTGGGACCAGCAGTTAGCGTAATGGCTATGTTGCTGGACTCCCATGTAGTCAACAGCGGTTCACGGCCCAGACCCGGTGGCTTAAACTCACACCAGGTGTGTGTGTCCAAGATCCCGAGAGGAGAATGGAGGAGAAGGGATTGCGGTGTGGCCATCCCCCCTGGGGGGTGATTTCTTGCTTTCTGTCTCTCTGTCTCTCTCTGTCTGGCGAGCATGTGTGCCCTATAGCAAAAACCTATTAAAAATAAAAAATTAGGCCCTGTCACCCATGTAACTTTGGGCTAATTTTTCTCAGCAGATTTGATACTGCTAAGTCCCAGAAACATTTAGAAAATGCTCATGGGAACTTCACTATGGAATTAAGGTCATCAGCCAAAGGACTAGAGTGGCAAGGTAAGGTATGCCAATGACTGACGCAGGCTTACTGTTAATATCACTTCCCTCTTAGCTCTAACAAAGGAGAGCAGGTGACAAGTGGTGAATGACACAAGTCAGTACTGGGGAGGTACCAAGGAAGTGGAGAAGACTGAGAAGACTTCAAAGCAGATAGCACCCACTCTGCTCTGATTGTTGCCATACAAATGTGCAAGCTCAATGTTGTCAGATTTTCAAACATTAAAAATTTTTTAAATTAGGATTTTTTTTCTATTTTAAAGTTTTAGCCACGGGGACCAGCAGATGGCATAATGGTTATGTCACTATATTCCCACATAGTACAACTGCCCTTTGAGTCCCAGACCAGGAGGCTTAAAAACTCATACCGGGCTTGGGACCAGCAGTTAGCGTAATGGCTATGTCGCTGGACTCCCACGTAGTCGACCGCGGTTCTCGTCCCAGACCCAGTGGCTTAAACTCATGCCGGGCGCGTGTGCGTGTGTGCCCAAGATCACGAGAGAAGGGATTGCGGCGTGGCCATCCCCCCTGGGGGGTGATTTCTCACTTTCTGTCTCTCTGTCTGTCTCTGTCTGTCTGGCAAGTGCACGTGCCCTATAGCAAAAACTCATACTGGGCTTATGTGCATGTGTGCGCAAAATCCTGAGAGGAGAATGAAGGAGAAAGGATGGATGGTGGTGGTGATGTCTTGCTTTCTGTCTTTCTGTTTCTCTCTGCTCTCCAGTGAGCACATGTGTCCTATTGCAAAAATCTCTCTTTAAAAAAAAAAAAAAAGTTTTGGCCATGAAGTCCATAGGACAAAACAAAAATTCTGTAATCCAGTACTGTACGGGACAAAAAAACATGCTGGGGTTTAGATTATACCCATGTCTCCTCTCGCTACTTCCCCATCCCTAATTTGTGACCTCTAGATTAAAGTTTCAGAGACTGGAATTCCCAAGGTTTTGTCCACATAGTCCATTCAGCCCAGTGGTATCTGTAATGCCTCCAGTAATAGCTCTGCTTGGGCTGCCTTCCTCAGCATGCTTCTCTGTTTCTCAGGCTATGTTAGCTGCCCTACCTGAGTTCCCAGGATCTAGGCTTCCTCTGTCACTGACAAATTATGTTGCTATCACCTAAGGATTATTCTACTTCAACTCCTCCACAAAATTAGAGCCACTTCAGGGGAAGGTTTAAGCTTTTTTGTTTTTCTCAAAAGAACTATTTGTTTAATTTATTATTATTATTATTATTTAATTTGACCAGAGAGAGAGAGAGAGGAGAGTGAGAATACAAGCTTCTGGGACCAGCGGGTGGCGTGGGAGTTAAGGCGCTGTACACTTCCCCCTGGCCGCCCAC